AGAAATCATTCTAATATGCCGATTTGCTGCTCAAGAAACATTTCGTATTATTATCATATATTTGTTGTAATCTTACTGACCCCAAACTTTAAAATCGTATAAATAATGCTTATTTTATCATATGTGATGTTATATATTGTAGCGTTTCACTTAGCATTAACATTGATGTAGTTTCACAAAAGATTCAAGTTATTGATTATTACTTTGATTTCATCCACATAAAGGTAAAGCTCTTGGTATTGGTTTAATTTGCTGTTCTTGTGTTTGCAGCCGCAGCCGGATCTTCCTCTGGATCCGTATGTGATTGGTCTGACGGGCGGCAGCGGGTCGGGAAAGAGCTCTATAGCGCACAGACTGGAGGCTCTCGGCGCCGTGAAGATTGACTGCGATCAGCTCGGTCACGAGGCCTACCTGCCGGGAACATCCGCTTATCATAAGGTCATCCAGGAGTTCGGCCCAGGTATGGAGAGGAGATGTTTATACTGGAATTCTGCAGTTTTTCCCTACAGAAAATGTGAAAACTGTTTTTTGTTTGCTTCTCTTTTGCTGTCAGATATTCTTAATGAGGATAAGAGCATTAACAGACGAGTACTGGGTGGAAAAGTGTTTGGAAACCAGGTGATTTAACTCAGCAGGTGATTGTAATTGAATTCGGAACACTTGATTCAATCCTGTTCGTATTGTATTTGTGTGTTTGTGTTTTCCAGGAGCGTCTGAAAGCTCTGACAGATATCGTGTGGCCGGAGATTGCTCTGCTGGTGAAGAAAAGAATAGAACAAGCAAAAGAACAGGGTGACGCATTTAGCACTTCCTTCTCATGCTCTTGCTGAGCTTTTTCTGTTTTCATTGTGATTAATTCTCACTTCCTGTTTTCAGGTGAGCGTGTCTGTGTGGTGGATGCGGCCGTGTTGCTCGAGGCGGGATGGACATATCTGGTGCATGAGGTTTGGGTGGCCACCATCCCAGAGGAAGAGGTACTAAAGCTTTAATATAGACACACAGGGTTTTCTAAAGGTTGAAA